TGTGTGTGTGTGTGTGTGTGTGTGTGTGTGTGTGTGTGTGTATTGCTAAAGTAACTGTCCCTGCTTTACTCAAAGAAGTTTCAACCATTTTTATAGCTAGGTTCCTGAGTATTACAGATTATCTTCACCCATGTTTCTTATACATATGAGATTAGTCAGACAATATGCTTAATCTTCAAACACTTCATAGGCATACAGAACATGGCATTTAAATGTTTTAATAGTACTCCGTTGACATGAGACACTATTGCTCCTGACAGCACCATGCATTTCCCAAAAATATGTTGGGCACTGTCGTTGCTCCTTCTGGAGTCAATCCTTGCCTTGGCTAATGGCCTCTTGGGTAAAGAATTGTCCCCACCTCAACCATTGATTTGGACATGCTGTCCTACTGTGCTTGTGAGAGACAAACATAGAAGATTGCTGAACCTTGACAAGTCAGGGTAAGACAGCCTTTCTACCTCCCTGCTTCTGTAGTGGTCTGTCAGATACTCTAGACCTTAGCCCAAACTGGTTGCACTAACATTGCTGTGAGACTTTGGATGACTGTCCAGGTAGCCTGCTGTTCTGTCCTCACTGCACCGTTTGGAAGCTGCCAATCTGCACTTCCTCCTACCCTTGTGTTGTTATCTTCCTTCTCTGGTCTTTAATGAGGTTAAAGATTAGACTGTCACAATTATTATTCTCTCTTCCTCGTTAGAAATATTAGGTACTAGATTTAAGCTTTCCAGCTTAGGACAACTCTATTGTAAACTCTGTTATGCCTTCGGCCTAGGACTAGGTATGTAGGTCTTAAGTTTTTGATTTTCCTTTTCTTAGAGCATACTTGTTATTCACTGTTTTTGTAGTTTTGTATCAAGTCTAAATCTTTTCTTTAGACTAAAAAGGAAATTGTAGTGAGATATTCACTATGTCCATACCTATTGCACTGACCACACCCATTGGGGGTGGGGACAGGTGCTGATGTGACCTGGGGAAACTAGCTCTGTGGTAGGAGACCCCAGAACACTCTCTTGCTTGCTGGATGGAGACAGAGAGCATCTGGAGGCATCCTTGGGACCAGGAACCTGCTTGCATTCATCTGTCTCTGTTGTAAATTATTTCTCCCTAAATACACATCTATTTGGCCTGTTTCCCCCAGATCCTTATTTTTTCACGATAAAGGATAAGTAATGATCCATTACTGCCCAGTCCTCCTAACTAACACCCACATTCAGGGGGTCTGGGTCAGTCCTATACTGGTTTCCCAGCTATCAGACTGGAGTGCATGAGCTCCCCCCTTGTTCAGGGCAGCTGATTCTGTGGGTTTCTCCAGCCTGGTCTTGATCTGTTTGCTCATCAAGTCTCCCTCTCTGAAACTGGATTTCAGGAGTTCAGCTAGTGTTTAACTGTGGGTGTCTGCTTCTGCTTCCATCACCTACTGGATGAAGGCTCCAGGATAGCATATAATGTAGTCGTCAATCTCATTATTCTGGAAGGGCATTTAAGGTAGTCTCTCCACTATTGCTTAGATTGTTAGTTGGGGTCATCCTTGTAGATCTCTGGGCATTTCCCCAGTGCCAGGTTTCTCCTTAAATTAATAATGGCTCCCACTATTATGGTATCTCTTTCCTTGATCTCCTCTATTCTTTTCCAGACTCAATCTTCCTGCTCCCTCATGCCTACCTCTCCCCTCCTTTTCCCCCTAACTCCCTCTCCCCTCCCTCCATGCTCCCAATTTGCTTAAGAGATCTTGTCTCTTTCCTCTTCTCCAGGGGACCATGTATACCTCTCTTAGGGTCCTCCTTGTTTCCTATCTTTTCTGGAGGTGTGTATTGTAGGCTGGTAATCCTTTGCTCAATGTTTAAAATCCATATATTAGTGAGTACATACAGTATTTGTCTTTTTGAGACTGGGTTACCTCACTCAGGATGGTTTCTTTTAGTTCCTTCCATTTCCCTGTGAATTTCATGATTCCATTGTGTTTTTCTGCTGAGTAGAACTCCATTGTGTAAATGTACCACATTTTCTCCATCCATTCTTCAGTTGAGGGGTGTAAGGAGTAGGTTAAGGTTAAAACCCTTCTTTTTATTTAGACAGAAAAGAGGAGATGATGGGAGATGCCATTATGTATATATGTTTCTCATACTGGTTAATGAATAAAGCACTGTTGGCCAATAGGAAAGTTAAATAGGAGGGACTAGGAGACAAGGAGGAAAGATGAAGTAGTAGGGAGGAGTCAACATGAAGAGGCTGGGGGGACGAGATGCTGGTAAGGAGACCATGTGGAAATATTAGATTAACAGAAATGGGTTAATACTTAAGACAGAGCTAGCCGATAAGAAACTAGTACCTGGTCAACAGCATTATATCTAATACAGAGTCTCAGTGTGTTAATTGGGGCTGGCGTGGCGGCGGGACAAGACAGGCGGTGGGAAGAAAAACCTACTCCTTACAGAGGGGCATGTAGGTTGCTTCCAGGTTCTGACTATTACAAATAATGCTGCTATGAACATAGTTGAACAGATGTCCTTGTTGTAAAAGAACAAACAAACAAACATTTGTAATTAGTCAAAAACTCTGGATACTGGGCTTTGCTTTACTCATTTAGCCCCACTTTTTACCCTGAATTAGCTACACTGTCTTATACATTCAGAGTTTTCTTCACTCAAGTGTTTGCAAAGTCTATCCCTTCCCTTCTTTATCCCCCTATTTAAAATTAACTTTAAATTCAGATGTGGTCCAGTGGTAAAGTGTTTGCCTAGAATAAGAGATTAAATAAATAAATAAATGATTTGTTGTAAGTTTCTCCTAACACCTTCCCCAATTGCTATTGCTCACACCAATTTTCCAAAATTATTGGCTATCATCAGTGTAATACTTCAAGGATTAAATATCCCTTGACCGACTCTCCTCTGTGGCTTCTCTTTCCAACTAGATTATATACTGCACCCAGAGCAGAGGAGGCCACTCTAAAGTAAGCTTTGTGTCCTTTCATAGTTTTAGGCAGCTTTCACACAACAATTTGATGTTGAAACACTGAAGAAGTAGACACGGAATAAGTGAACACTGCTAACTCCAAACATTTTCTTTTTTCTACCTGGTGCCTGAGTTCTTAACTCAAGTGCCCCACCCCCCACCCAGATCTTCCCAATAACTAGCAACAGGATGAAATTCTTTTTCCATTGTGTGAAGGCATATGTGTATATGTACACATGTACAACAGAAACCAAGATTTCACACAGCAGATATCACTTGTACTGTCTAGTATATCCTAATGTTTTCTAATCTGTTAATACAAACAATGAAAATACCCATAGGGTTAGCAAGGTGGCTTAGCAGGTAATGGCACCTGCAGCCAAACCTGAAGACCTGAGCTCAATCCCTGGGCCCCACGTGGTGGGAGGACAGAACTGATTCCTAAAACTTTCCCTCTACCCTCTACACACCCACCATGGCATACATTCCTACCTCTAATAAATACATTTAATGAAGAAAATCACTGACAAATTATATATGTGGAGGATTTTTACCTCCACTAAAGAATTTGAACTATAGTATAAAAGTAGTCTCCTAGTTTATGGTCCTGGTAGAAAATGTTCAGAACAAAACACTGCCAACTTGCTGTTTTATGTTCCTGACAATTTGAACTTTCATTATGGCCTTCACATACTTGAGTTGCTTTCTCCATTCTGCCTCATAACACCTAGCATCAACTCCTTCCTTATTCCCTACCTCCTGGCCACTTCCACCTTTAGAAATCTGCAATTCAGTTCAATAATGATACATAAAGCATCCTCTAGGTCTCTGTTTCACAGGTTATCTTTACAAATGTTGGTAGCATATAAATAAAAATTTCCAGGCCTAATTTGTAGCCAGTTCTTTTGGAAATGACATATGGGAAATCAGCTTCTTTGGGGATGTAGATTAAGAACACTTATTCTATTGCTTGATCATTCATTATCTGAATCACATTTTTGCCAAATTATTTAACCTGAGGTCCATTTCCCCATCCACACAATTGTGATAATGCTTACTTCAAGAATTGGTAGATCTATCAGTATTCAGGTAGAGTTTGATGCAGTAGGCTCTGGCATACAAAGTATTACTTTGTTCTCTGTAATAAGCACACCTGTAACTTCATGCTGCTGTTACAAAGTAAGATTCAGTCATAAGAACAAGTTCCTTTTTCCCTTTAAGTATCTATATTCTGAAGTTGGACAATTTATAATGTAAAAATTCCACTGCTGATTTTATAGGCCATAGAGATCAGGAAGAAAGGTTCTAGTAGCAATGTGGGATTATATAATGAATGCCTATTAAAACGAAAAGACTAATTATCTAATCATGGTAGCTTAAAATAAGGGTTTTGTTCAATGCTACTTTTCCAATTACAAATGTCTGATGGTGAAGTGTTTTGATTCAGGAAAAAAATAGAGCACATCATGTAGACACAGCGACAGAAGGCGTGAGCTGCTTTTGAACAGTATAAACTTGTTCTAGTTGCTTTTATGTTCCTTCTTACCAGTTATCCACACCCTTGTTAGCTAGGTCAGGGTACTTCTAAGGTAGTTTTCATTGCATGTTTGACGTTTAGGGGAAATTAGCTTTCTACAGAAAACTTCTCTCTTAACCTTTTCAGTTAAGCTCAGCAGGACAGGATCTCAGCAATACCCCCAGAAATGGAGGTGCAGGCTGAACTCGCACAGAGAAATCTCAACCTGTCCCCATCATTAGCCAGCTGTGGTCACTCGCTGAGTTATGTGTGTAGCAATTACAAACCTTTGAAAATTAACAAAAAAATATTTTCACCAACTCTTTGAAAATTTATACAATTTATTTTGATCGTATTTATGCCATAAATGAAAGCCTTTGACAATTTAATGGCTTCTGGGGACGATCTTGCGGATGCATGCTGGGGGACACAGATCTGCAACAAGGTAGAGCCAGAGGACTGCCTGCTCAACTCCTGGGCGGGCGAGGAGTTGCTGCAGCCTCGGCTGCCAGCAGCTGACAAGGACTCAGAAAAGTCCCCCAGCGCGGGCGGGTCTGGCTGCGCTCGCAATCAGGCTTTTGTCACATACCAGGCTCCCAAAAGGGGGAAGACAAACCTTTCCGGAAATAGCAAGTCCGGCCTCCGAGAGGCAGAGTAGGGGGCGGGTCCTCAGCAGGTGAGGGGGAAAACGCGCTGTGCTCGGGGGGCGGGGCCATGGCGGCGAGGGCGGGACATGGGGCTCGGGGCGGGGCCATGGCGGCGAGGGCGGGGCGGCGCTGTGGGGTTGGCGGTGCTTCGGGTGACAACGGTCAGAGATGAAGGTGGCTGCGGCGCAGCGGGGAGCTCGGCTGCGCCGGGAGCGGTTGGCAGCCAGGCCGCGCCTGTAGGACCTCGGGGCCGGGGTGGCGGGATGGGGACCCGACTCGGGTAGTGAGACTGCGGCGAGCGGAACTTCAGCCAGAGGGGCTCGCCTGCTCCGGTCAGACTCGGGGTCCTCCTCCACCTGCTGCCGCTGGGCCCCGCGTCTGGCGGGCCACGACGGCGTCGGCGACGGCGGGGGCATGTGGCGCTGGGTCCGGCAGCAGCTGGTAAGTGAGGGCTGGGGCTGGGCGGCGCGGGCTAGGCCGCGGCGGGGGAGCGCGGCTCTCCCTGGGCCCGGGCTCCCCACCGCGCGGGGATGCGCTGCTGCCTGCGGCCGCTACGGATCGCGGGTCCCGGGGTAACTGAGGCAGCGGTGCGGGGTGCAGGATAGGCGGCTGTCCGGGACTCTGAACTAGGCTCGTGCAGGTTCCGAGGAGGTCTGGGTTCACCTGGGCCTCCTGGCGGAAGCCTGGGCCTAGGAGGAAGGAGTGCCGGAAGGTACTCACCGCACACCCCTGCAACTTCTCTGTGAATCTGTCACCCCTCCTCAAGGCGGTTACAATGTACAGGCTTGGAAACAGTGGTTAACTTTTGAACATTACTGGGTTACCTGGAGAAAGAAAGAGAAACCTCAGGGTGACTTAAGTGTCTAAAAAGCTCACACCTTTCCCAGAAATTATTCACAGATGAAAGCCTCTCATGCCTTTTGGCACCTGCAGCCTAGGAAATACAACGCAGAGGCAGCAGTGACAGACATCACTTCACTCAGAGGAACGCTAACCAGTATACTGTTTTAATTTCGAAACTGTATCAATTGCAGTATTTTTGTTTACTGGACTTCAAGGCAGTACTAAATCTTAGCCAAGCAGAACTTACTGTTTTGACACTAAAATAGTATTTTTCTTTCTTTTCCCCTGCGGTAGAACAGCTTTTCATGTAGAAACTAACAAGTATGTATTTCAGTTAGCCTCTTGTTTATTTTACAGTAGGCATCATTCTTAAATAAAGCAATCTTATAAATAAAACTAGAACTGCCTGCCACTCCCTCATACAAATGGTGGGTCTTTATTTTTAGCAACTGTTGCAAATTGAAGTATTCCAGCTTTATTGGGAATCCAAGCTAATGATGTCATTTGATCCACACTATTAGACTGCCTTGGCTTGCTTTCTGTAAGCCGGCAGCCCAGTATGGAAGTTAATTATTACAAATCTGTTGTGCTTTTGGTTTCCCACACTTCGTGTGAAGAAGGCTTGTTTTAACACTGTTATCTGATGATGATTTGTGAGGCAGGAAGATCATTGTTAACTGGGTCTCTTCAAGCTTTTTCCAGTATGTTAAGACATTGTGTCTCAGTCTGAGGTACAATCCCATCTTCCAGACAGAAATGTGGTAATGTTGGGGAAGATGGCTTTAAATGTTCACAGCTGAAGGAAGAACCAGACACCATGTGGTCATTTATAAATCAGCTGTCTTACTGGACTGTTTAACCAAACAAGTTGAACAAGTTGCTTCACATAAAAAATACTGTCACTGATATTTAGCTGCCTGTCACTGGTTTCACTTTTAAGATTATCAGGTCTTTAAGACCTGTGCCAAAGCAGGACTTTGTATCGATGACTAAGTTTGTGTAATCACTTAAATTACAAATGAAGGACTGTGTGTGCAGAGTAATGAAAGTATATTATACTGACTCAGTAATAAATGGGCATTCTAGTTGTTACACTAATAATTCAGTTCAAAAAGTCTAGTTTAGATTATTCTAATAAATGCTCACTGGGTTGAGTCACAAACATTGGGTTGATTGTAAAACTGATAAATGGAAAAATTTAAGTAAATTGCTAAGTCACAAGGACAGGTTGGTTTGCAGTTTCAGAACACTATATGAATCCTGACTTTCAACTAATACTTTCACCAAAGAAGATACTTTTTGTTTTTAAAATTTTATTCCTGCTTATTTTATGTGTGTGTGTGTGCGTGTAAAAGTGTGTAAGTAAGTAAATCAGGACAACTTGTCGGAGTCATTTCTTCTTTCCTGCCCGGTGGGTCCCAGGAATCCAACTCAGGTCCTCAGGCTTGGTGACACTCTCATTTGCTTCCTGAGACATCTGACTTATCTTACTGTCTTTTTATTACAGAGACAGTTCTATGTTCTACTTATTTATTTGCAATTGAAAAGTCTCTGTCTAGCTGTCTAGCATGCTGTCATGCTGTCTAGCATGATGGAAAATCATAACAAAAGCTGATATTTTCCCTTTATGAAAATAATGAAAATATGTGGATATCCTTTTTTATGCTTTTATTTCGCACAAAATGTTCAGATTATTTTACATTAAAAGTTATTATGTCCTTCTGGTGTTCTTTGTATTCATAGTGTACCCCTTTTCAGTAGCATGCTGTATGAACTCGTTTTTATATCTTTAACAGCGTTTCAATTATAATAGCATAGCACCATTATTATTATTATTAATTATTATCTTGCCAGTGCTAGCAGTCAAACCCACAGTTTTACACATGTTAGTGGTATATGCTCACCACATGCAGCCATTAAAAGTTCATGTTTAGAGAATAGTATAGTTTTTTGTTTTGTTTTGTTTTTCCACACAGGGTTTCTCTGTGGCTTTGGTGCTGTCCCGGAACTAGCTCTTGTAGACTAGGCTGGTCTCAAACTCACAGAGATACGCCTGCTTCTGCCTCCGGAGTGCTGGGATTAAAGGCATGCACCACCTCCGCCTGGCCCTTCAATACCATATTTATTTGTACAGTGCCAGTTTCTACTTTTAAACAAAAGTCCTTGCCAACAAATATATTTAGGTGATGTACAAGATTTCTTTACAGGACAACATAACACCATATTTTCATAGAACTTACTATATGCTAAATCCTGGTGATTCATGTGAAAGTGATGAGGCTGTTACTGATGAGCACCCTACATTAAGCATAGAGTTAGCCTTGATTATGTTTTATGAATAGATAAGGAAATAAGGTGACACAGGCCTATAATCCCAGCTTCTGGGAGGTGGAGGAAGGAGTATTGTGAGCTGGAGGTAGGATGCAGTTCTTAAATTGTTCATAAATGTCCCTTCAGATTTATGCTGGTGATTGGGAAGGGAGACTGTCTTCTGCTTCACTGAGAAATTTGGCAAGCTCTTAGCCAAAAGTCCATCAATTTTATTATCTAATGCTTCTCCACACTTGCCTGTATCTGTGCTTAATTTTTGCCTTTTTTTTTTTTTTGCCTGCTATCACAGAAAGTGAATTAGTTTCCAAGTTAATTAGTTTACTTGTTGTTTTGATACTGTTCTTTTGTTATATTCTCTATACTCCCTGTCAATTATCATAAGAGTATGTGTCCTTTCTCTTTACCCTTAGTCTGTAAACACAATTAAGCTTCCCTCTGTTATCTTAATTTTTCCTTCACTGTACCTAACTGCCAAATGTTCCTTAATTGAATACAATTTTAAAAAGGATTTATCCTGCATAACAGTTCTATCTAATATACTTGAAATGTGGCTGGTCAGGTTGAAATTTTCTTAACTCTAAAACATAATGGATTTTAAAAACAGAAGAAAAAATGTGACTTATCTCAATTATGTCTATTTCTGTGATAGTAAGATGACTTACTAGGAAAGGGTACTTATCACCAAGCCCGATGAGCTCAGTGTGATCTCTGGGATCCACTTGGTAGAAGAATTATCTTCAGAAAGTTGTCCTCTGACTTTTACATTTGTGTGGGGGCATGTGCCCACTCCCCAACAATAAATAACTATAATGAAAAGGAATGCCTTATTTTTTAAAATGCTAAAGTTTGAAAATTTGAGTTCATGTACATTCTTTGTTTTGCTTTTTTCTCTTGGAATTTTTTTTATCAAATTCAGTAGAAGAAATGCATATTTATTATATCTGTATGGGAAATATTAAGAGTTATTTTTACTTTACTTTGGGGGATTGTAAATACATGTCTACATTTAATTCTTTTATATATTTGGTTATAATGGGTCAAGTAAGCTTTCCCCAGTGTTATAAATAAGTCATGCAACAAATTTCTTTTGCTTCCTGTCAGTTGAAACAGCTGAGGGAAACTGTCTTAAGAGACAGTTAGGATACTGTTTTTTTTTTTTTTTTTTTTTTTTTTTGTTTTGGTTTGGTTTTTGTTTTTAATGCTGACTAGCTCACTTAAAATCATCTTAATAGTTTCTATGCAAATGTAGTATAAATGGTTGTTACACTGAATTATTTAGGGAACAACACACCAACAAGAATAAAGTCTGCTGTAGGTGTGGCACATCTATCATTTCAGAATTTGGGAAACGGAGGCAGGAGGAGTGAGAGTTCCAGGCTTATATAAAAAAATCCAGAATTATATAATAAGGCCTTGTATTGGAAATATAAAAAGGAAACCGAGAGACTGTATGCAGCAGAGACACCCCCCCCCCTTTTTTTTTTTTTTTTTTTTTTTTTATTTGTTTTAGTGGGTATTTTTGGTTTTGTTTGTTTTTGTTTTTGAGGCAGCATCTTGCTTGTGTTGCCCAGGCTGGTCTGAAACTCACTACCTTCCTACTTCAACTTCGCAAATCCTGGGATTACATTCGTGTATCACCATGCCCAGTTTCCTTTTTCAGTTGATTGAACTACATATGGACCACAATAGTACCACATTCTGTCTGAGTTAACAGTAAGTCTCTGCAGAAAATTCTAAGCTGTGATTTGTCTTTACACCTGAAAACTTTAGGATCACATGCCAAATTCACTAAGGCTATTATACTTCCATATTTCATTTAGAAGTAGAATATCATCAAGAAAGGAATACATAGGATAATGTACGTAGTACCATTGAGTCATTCTATATTTTACAAAAATTAGGAACAAAAACAGATGTTATACATATGTATGCAGTGCATATGCAGTTAATGATGCCAATATTCATGATATGTTTCTTATGCTCCATCTTAGGGGAAATTTCAAGCATAAATAAAAGTATAGAAATATAATGAGCCCCCATTTATTCTTTAGCCAAGTTGGTAATTAATTCAAGCCGGTGTTACTGGATCCCCTCTCATAGTATCTCTACCTCCTGACTAATTGTAAGGCAAATCTTAGACATTATATAATTTTTCCCATAATTGTGTCTCTGTCTTCAAAGATAAGAAATCCTTTTAAGTATATAAGTGTGACTACTGTAATAGTCCATGTATTTCCATTTT